GCCTGGGGGAGGAGCCGTCGAGGCCCTGAGCTACCCTGGAGTTTTTACTGGAGGCAAAAGTCCATAGCGGGCGGGCTGAGGGAGGGGCGGAGGAAGGGGACCGCTTGGGGGCACTGGAAAGCCAGGGATTCTCCGGAGGGAAGGCAGGGATACTCCCGAGCGAAGGCGAGGAGACTGGGGGAGGGGGCGCGGTGGGAGGAGGAGTAGGAGAAGACAAAAGCCGAAAGCGAGGAGGGCCCGGGCGGCACACACCGGCCGGGAGGAAGCCGTCTGTTCAACGAGCAGCGGGTCCGCCGAGGCCGCAGTGCACGGGGCATCCCGGTCGGCAGGCAGCATGGGGAAGGGGGGGAACCAGGGTGAGGGGGCCACCGAGCGTGAGGTGCCAATGCCCACCTTCAGTTGGGAGGAGATTCAAAAGCACAACCTTCGCACCGACAAGTGGCTCGTCATCGACCGCAAGGTCTACAACATCACCAAGTGGTCCAACCGGCACCCAGGGGGCCACCGGGTCATCGGTCACTACGCGGGAGAAGATGCCACGGTAAGGGTCCGGGGGCTCTCCAGCCACCTTTTTCTGGTGCAGGCGGAATCGGGAGCCCTGGGTCCCTGGACGCTAAACAGACCTCCGGCGCTGAATGGAGCTCGGGACGCCCAGGAGGAAAGCAAAGTGTATCTATTGCACTTCTCCTCCGCCCCCCAATCCTCTGGACCAAGAGGACAGACTTAGGGTGGGGGTCGTGTTTTGGAGCCCTGGAGCCAGCACCGCGGTGGAGGTCCCAGCGGCGGACAGCCGTGCTGGATCTACAGCGCGCGCTGGAACCCACGCGACTGCTCCTTCCGCCGGGCTTACTGGAGCCAGGGACTCCCCAAAGGGGGCGCTCGGGCCCTAGGGCTTTGGCGCCCCCAGCGTGGAAGATGGCCGCTCTTGGGCGCCGCGGGAAGGAGTAGAGCAGGCAGCCAGGTATGAGATTATGCTTGCGTCCAGCGCTCTGCAGCCAGACTAGGGGGAGTAGAAGGAATATTCGTCCTGGGCCGACTGGGGCTCTATCCTCTGTGGACTCGTCTAAGAAAGCCCGCAGTGGCTTCCTCGGAGGGACTGTCTGGTAGTTCGAGTTCCCACGCTCCCAAGAATAATCGGGACTCACCCCAAGAGCCAGGTTCTTGGAGACCAGGGTGGGAATGGGCTGAAGGAGAGCGGGCTGAGGATTGCACAGGCCAGGTGGAGAGGTGTCCTTGGTCTGTGTGGATTTAGCAGCACTAGGCTGGCTTGGCAACAGGTCCATCTACAGCTGAGGTTACTCTCGGACGTTCAACTCAATGGCCCTCTGTTTTTAAATCCTGCCAGAAGGGCCCTTTCCTCATCTTGCACTCTAAAGGTAATTGGCCAGCAGGGTGTATGTGTGTGTGTGTGTGTGTGTGTGTGGTGGGGGCGGGGAGGGGGTCTTTGGATCTAGGGCTGCCCATTTTACTGGCACCAAATGTGCAGTATAGGGATTACACCCTCATCCCCCCCAGGCCCAAATCCTTGCAGTTGGAGCCGCATACTCTCAAATAGGTGGAAGAGAAAAGAACAGAGGCAAGGCAAGGGCCTCTCTTGGTGGTAGTGAGCTACACAGGAACAGGTCTGGGGAATAGGATTTGGGGAAGGCTGACAGAAGGGATGAACTTGTCATAGATCTTTGCACCTGGAGGTCTAGGGTACTGGCTGTTTGTGGGCTTTTGCTGTCCAAGCTGTATAGGCTCAGCTTGATTCCCACCTCTTTCAGTCTCATGGACACAGGTCCAGGGAGGCCAGACCCGACAGCCATAAACTCTGCTGTTCAGTGGACTGGTGGCTTTGGCGAGCAGGGCCTAGGCTTATTCAGGATTGAGAAGAGGGTCAGCCATAGTGATATTGCTTCCAGCTATCTGCCCATCCTGTTTCACCTGCTTGAGGACACTGCTTAAACCCTGGGGCTGCTGGTGCTAATCAGAGCTTAGGTGGGTGTGCGCTGTGCACGCACCTGCTGTACAGTCTCACTGACCTTTCCACAACCCAGTGAAGAGGGTAAGTAATTTCCACATAACAGACCTTCTAGTTCCTGGTGGAGACCCTTCCACTGTATTGCCGAACTCATGCTAATCTGTTTATGATCACACAGGTAGAAGATTTCCGTCCTGTCCAGGCCCTCACAAAAGTTTCCCAGGAGGACAAGTCAAATACAATGATTTGGTCTGTTTATTCCATATCGTCAAATAAACAGGTTTTCATGTGAAATGCCTGCCTTGAACTTTACAGTGGAAAGACATCGGATTTATTTCATTCTTATTCTGGATGTTTTCAGTGCATCCCTGATCTTAACGATGAGTTTTCTCCCCAAATGAAGGCTCAGAGTTCCAGGCTACTCTACTCTTCCCTGGCTCCTTTTTTTGTCTCCTAAGTTTTAGCTAAAAATGTAACAGTCTTTTTTGTTTCTGATCCTGTCCCAGCACTTTCTGTAAAAGTTCACGGACTGTGAATCTGACATCTTGGATGTCAGTTGTCTCATAAAAAAGCCAGAGTGGGCTGCAGAAAGACACCCATGGAATTAAGAAAGATGATCTGGGGCTAACAAATAGCATGGTGGTTAAGGTGCTCCATCCCCCATGGCTGACACCATGGTTCAAGTCCTGGACTTGGCAGCTTGAAAATCACACCAGGTGCTTATGCATGTAGGCCAGAATCGCAGGAGGAGAGTGAAAGAGAAGAGATTGTGGTGTGGCCATCCTTCCTAGGGGTGTGTGTGGGGATGGGGTGATATTTCACTTATTTCTCACTCTCTCTGTCTCTCTCCAGTGAGCACATGCACCCTATAACAAAAACTGAAGAGAAAAGAGATGAAAGACAGTGTGTTCCCTGGGTTTGACCACTGCATGCTGTCACGTGATCGGGCTGCCCCTCCTGTCTATAAAATACACCTAAACCTAGCCGATGAGCCTGATTCAGGCAAAGCACTCCATCAATTCTAAGCACCAGATAAATGCAATCGATGGTTATCAAACAACGAGAATAATAGTGAGGATTATGAAACAGCTAGAATGTAAAGTATGCACAGAGGAATTTGGAAGAAAAGAACTTCTTGATCTATGCTAGCTTTATCTGGTGTACCAAGACATAAAGGCAATCTCTGTCCTGAAGCTTGGGACATTCTGCCTTCCAGAATGGGACATTTGGGGAATGAAATAAACTGAGGATATAGTTAAACAATGGTAGAGTGAGCAATTGGAGTCTCTTTGGAATTGTTTTTTCCCCTCTCTGGGACCAGATTGGGAAAAGACCTTAGGCAGCAGAGGAATTATGGGAAGGGAACCTGATGAGAGGCAGGCACAGGCTGTGAGAGTTAGGAGACCCGTCTAGGCTGTCGAGCAAGTAACTTTGCCCCTTGAGGCAGAGACTTCTCTGAGTTTACAGAGTGATGGTATTTGTGGACCAGGCACAGTTTTTGAGGAAGGTCCGATCCCCAGGAGCACTTGAGGGCATTGCTCTGAGCCAATTCCAGAGGCTGGAAGGAGAGGCAGGAAGTCAAGGAGGCTGTGCTCGGGGGAATTGAGACCTTATAGTAGGGAATTTTCTTGTTTCTTTTTCTTTTTTTTCTTTTTTGGAGAGGTTTTTGCTATAGGGCTCATGCGCTCGCCAGAAAGACAGAGAGAGACAGAAAGTGAGAAATCACCCCCGAGGGAGAATGTCCATGCCACAATCCCTTCTCCTCCATTCTCATTCACACGTGCCCGGCGTGAGTTTAAGCCACCGGGTCCAGGACTCGAAGCGCAGTTGACTCTGTGGGAGTCCAGCGACATAGCCATTATGCTAACTGCTGGTCCGATCTTGTTTCTTAAGACAAAAATCGCAGAGGTTAAGACCCACTTTTTCCCCAGAAGTTTGGGACAATTGTCATTTGGTCCTTCCGAAGAAACGAGCCCTTGGCCTTGCCTGCAACAGTAGACGCTCAGTATTTGCAGCACAAAGCACGTTCATACATAGTAATACCTCATCGGGTCTTTGAAGTTGCTGAGGGACCAGCAGATGGTATACTGGTTACATTGCCGGACTCCCACATGACCAACTGCAGTTCAAGTCCTCGACCCAGTGGCTTGAAACTATGCCAGGTGCATGTGTGTGCTCCCTAAAGGAGAATGGAGAAGGGATTGTGCATGGCCATGGCCCCTGACCCGGCAGGGGGATTTCTCACTTTCTGTCTCTCTGTTGAGTGCAGGTGCCAAGTACTAAAAATCTCTCTCTCAAAAAAAAAAAACAAAAAACAAAAAAAGCCTTGTTGAAATAGCAGTACTTAAGAGCTAAACTCGGGACCCGCCAGCACCATTGTCTGTCCTTTCCCACGTCCATCTGTCTGATCTCTTCCCTCTGGTCCTCTGGTGCTTCTCCTCTCTTTGCCTTGTTTTGTGCCAAAGGAACCCTCGCCTGTGTCCCCAGTGCGTCTGCTCGTTTCAAGGCAGTCCCACCACCGCAGACCTCCCCCCACTCAGGACTGTTCATCCTCAGCGGCAATTCATCAAACATTCATTGTCTCCATGGCTCTGAGCTGGGCCCCAGGCACCAAGATGAATAATTCACAGACAGTGACCCAAATCTACTGGATTTGCTTCTTTCTGTCTCAAACTGGGACTTCAAGCTGGACTGTCTGCCTCTAGACACCAGCCCCCCATCCTCGCGTCCCCACTGCTTATCTAGGTAGCTTGCCCTGTCCTGTTGACATCATTCACGTCTCGGAATCAAGGGAAGGCTAGGTGAGGCCTGAGATTGGTTTCCTCTTTAGCCTGCTTCTGTGCTGCCCCCGTGAAAAGGCAGCAGGTTGGCAAAGGAAAGCTATCTCCTTTGGTCAGGGTAGGATGGCATGATATTTAGAGGCAGAGGACTTGGGTCTGGGTCCCATCATTGTGGATTTCTGGTCCCGGAGGGCAGCTCCATCTCCTGGGCTCAGCTCTGGGTGGGAGCTGTCTAGGTCTGCTGACTGCAGCCTCAGCAGGAGGATCATGCCCAGCCCCAGCATCCCTGTAGCTATTCTGAGATGAAAATGGCAAGTGGGACATGGATATGCCTTCATGTCCCGGTCGCCTTTACAGGGCCTTATTTAAGCTCTTCCACTTCCAGAGGAGTGCCTGTGCCAGGGGGCCACTCTCTCCAAGGGGCTCTCGGGCACAGAGCATGGCCTCACCTGCCTCTTGCTTCTTTCTCTTGGAGGGAACATGGCACAGGGGCTGCCAGCCCTGCCTGCCTCCTTCTGCTGTGGGAAGAAAGTTTGCACCCCCATCTCATTCTTCATTTGCACTTGGGAACTCAGAGGTCTCTCCTTGGCCCTCTCTCTGATTGCTTGTTCCACTGAATTGCAGTGGTCCCCAGGCTGCTGTCTATAGCACTGCATGCCCTGAGGTTGCTGCGGCTGCACTTCTCAAGGCCCGGCCACGTGCCTTGCTCTGTAGAGATGGGTGCAGCCAGAAACAAACCCTGCTCTAGGTGCTCAGTGTGTTGGGAGAGGGCCTGGGAGTTCTACCTGGATTGGGGTG